AAAAAAATGATCTCAACTTGTACCCTAAAAACAACTTTTATAAAAATAAAAAATAGCAAGCATGCCAAAGGAAACCTTAGATTACTAACTTCTATTTTTCTTTTTTTCTTTTTTTTTGAATTGATTTTACAAAGAGTTAGGTTCGAACCTCAATCCTGGGAAGGGGAAAATGCACCATGGTGGCTATGGCTACTTGACTCGAAAGGTTCGGTGTAACTGCTATTTTTCTTAGCGTAATAAACTAGGCAACATTTAATCAATGAAGACTTCTGTGTTCCAACTTGAAATTGGCCTTATGGCCATTACTGTTCTGCCTAAAGGCATTTTCCTTGATAAGTGATTTTCAAGAAATAAAATTATTTTTGGCTTTTGTGTATAACCAAATCTAATGGTGGTAGGCTTTACGCAAAAAATCTAGCTTTTTGTGTATAACCAAATCTAATGGTGGTACGCTTTACACGAAAAATCTAATATAAGACATGATTGTCCAATGGCCATTATTTAATTTTGGGTATAAGATTACACAGTTCAATTGGGCACTTTGGGGCTATTTGGTATGCACATGTCCCACACCATTTATTCCTCAAAACTGGGCCATGTTGTGTACAACTTCATCTTGAAAATAAACAATCATGGAACACATAGAGGTAATCTTTTATCTTACTTTGTAAGTGGTAAAATGGGCTAAAAATATTTTCTTGGTAAAAAATGCTTGATAAAATATTTTTTCAGAATAAAGTTATGAATTATTAGAAAAATAAATAATTATATCTATTTTTTCGAAAAATAATATGTTACCATCAATTTATAACCTATTGTAATTGTTATTAGTTTTTGTGCCATAATTTTAAATTTTGACAAAACTCTACATTAAACCTTTAAATTTATCTCAAATTTTTTATTAAGTCTTTAAATTTTTGTTGAAACAACTAAACATTAGAACTAAATAATCTAAGTAATTTAACCATCTTTTCATATGACAAACTTATTATCTATTTGTGTCTCATTTAAATGAATAAAATATTTATATATTATTACTTACGTGTGAGTATTAATTTTATTCACATAAGTACAATATAAATGAACATTAAATTCATTATAAAAAAAAAAGTCAAACTACCTAAATCATTAAATTCACAAACTTATTTCGTTTCAATAAAAATTTAATGTAAAGTTTTATCTTTAATTCCCATTACGTGCTACATTAATCTTATGAGGTAGCTTTCGAAAAAAAATTATTGTAGAACATTTGTACACCAAACATACCCATTGAGTGCACCGAAGGTTTCTTTACTTTTCCAAAGCACCAAGCACGTACGTAACAAATGGACCCCTTGTATAACGCAACTACTAGACCTAAACGTGGCAGGAGACGCAAGGTATGTCAAGACTCAAGAATGATGAGAATATGCCCCCACCTAACTTTATCAAATGAATGAAAGCCTAATTAGGGAGTGGATCACTTCAATTGCGCATAGGAGATGTTGATACCACTACTAGACCTAAACGTACATACCCTCACCTAATTACTCAAAATTAATTTTTTAATTAATGCTTTAAATGAAATCTACCAACTTTAGTAAAATCTCATGGGGTTTGTTTAGTTAGGGAGAAAGCCTTAAATTTTTCTAAACTTTCCCCCTTATAGACTAATACTTATAAATAAAAAAAGAGTTAGAAATAGTATTTTTATTTTTTATTTTTTTAATACAATTTTTAACTTATAAACTAATTTTCTTACACTTAAAAAAAAAATTTCCCCTAATTATTCCTATATATAACTAATTTGATAATTTTTATATTAGTTTTTCTTACATTAATTTTTTATTAAATATAAAAAATTTAACAACCCAACAAAATTATTTTATGAAACTTATCACCTTTACCTTTTTCAATAAAAACATTTAAAGAGTGTTCGGTGGGAGGAAAAATTTACCTCTAAAATTTTTTAATTTTTTACTTATGAAATCATTTATATATTTTCATATATCAATATTATAATTAAAAAATATAAATAATATTTAAAATATTTATTTTCTCTCATATAACTTTTTAACTTATAAAGTTTTTTTTATAACTTTTCTTATATTTTTTCACCTTAACTTATTTTCCTAACATGTTACATATCAATCAATGTACTTGCTTAATAATTTCTAGGTAAAAACTTTAATAGGAAAATAACCCAACTGTCCTTGCTAGTAAAAGTGAGCAGAAACGGGGTGGTGAGGGAAAATGAGAGTCACCTCGTTCCACGCGGCACCCAAGACCCTCTCCCCCACGACGGACCCCACCACATTTAGAAAGTCCAAATCACCTCCCACGATCAAATCGAACCAACCCCCTCCCCACCTCACCCCACCCCCTCCCTACATTTCCAAGAGATGGGACCACCACCAAGGCGGAGAACGCCACAGCGGAGACCAATACCGGATGCATGTGCATGAACGGCAAAATGGCAAATAAAACCACCCACTCCCTTTCTTTTCCCATAGAACTGCTCGGCGCTTGACATTACCAAAAACGTGGAAAACACCCCGCATGGGGGCTTTTACTAAAAGGAAGAGACAAGGGGGAAGCAGAAAAGTTGCTTAGCCAGCGACGCATTCAGAGTCGGACTGCAGGAGGGATCAGGTACGAAGGTACGATATTGTTAGCTGTAAATTAAAGCGCTCTCACGTATAGTCTCACCTCATCCTCCGGCAGACTCTGCATCGCCTGCTCTGCCCCGCACAATAAAAACGCTTTGGTTGCGTCAGGGAGTGTGCAGTGAAAGTACTGTGTTGTGTGGGGGGGGGGGGGGGGGGAGAGAGAGAGAGAGAGAGAGAAAGGGAAATAAAGAGGAATCAGCTGTAATGGTGACACGAAGACGCCTGATTCTCAAGCTCTTCCCCCTGTCCCTTTTGTCTCCTCGTTATTGAACCACACTTTCCTCTCTCCTTCTTTCTCACTTGTTATTATCTACATAAACCATTTTGCTTCTTCCTGAGGCTTTATTTTACCTGGGTCTTTTTCCCTCTTCACAATTTCTTCCCTTTGGGGAGCACCGCTCGAGAAAACAGAAATGGGTGGTGATGAGGGGGACGGGTTGAGCTATCCCTCTCCAGTCGCTGCTCAGGAAGGTAAACCTACATCCGCCGGCTTGCCTCTGGAAACAACTAGCCAAGGTCATCATCTCTTTTTATTCTGTTACTCTGTCTTTTTCAGTTTATCTCTGGTTTTTAATCAAAGGAGGTGAAGAGTCGACTTTGACCTGTATTTTAAAAAAAAATTAACTGAATTGACTGAAAATATTTATTGGATTCAACTCACCGTGAAATGTAATGCAGGTTTATTTGTTTAAATTTTTATCAGGTTTAGAAACCTCTGTTTCTGAGAGAGTGTGTGTGCGTGTGTGTGTGTTTTTTTTTTGGTATTTTATTTGGATATTACCCTTTTTTAGTTAATCAATCATCTAATTTGGACAGAAAATCCCTTTCACTATCGAATTCATACTATGGCCCCCAGTTTTTTTGCTTGGTCACGAGGGGAATTGGTCCTTTATTTTTTTTTTCTTTCTTTCCTGCTAATTTTGAGTTTTTCATACTGGGGTTTTGTTGTTTGCCTTAAATTGTTATCAAATCAGGAGGGAAAAATGACCTGTATAATGAACTGTGGCATGCATGCGCCGGTCCTCTTGTTTACGTCCCACAAACTGGAGAGAGGGTCTTTTATTTCCCTCAAGGTCACCTAGAACAGGTTCTGCTTCCCTTCTCCCTTGTAGCTTCAGCTTACTCTGTTTAATTCTCCAGTTTTGGCTTGGATTAAATTTCTCTGATGATACGAAGTAGAGTGGGTTCATTCAGGTTACACCAATGTCTTGATGGTTATTGAGATTATATAACAGGATGACTCCCTTTCAAATTATGTTGGTTTGGTTGATTTTTTTTTTATTTTTTTTTTTGGAATACATAAATAATGATTTTTCTTTGCTGGGTTATGGTAGGTTCTTGTTAATTTAGTATCTGATGCAGGTCAAGGCATATACAGATGGAGACTGTAGAACGGAAATGCCTGTCTATAAGCTCCCCTCTAAGATCCTCTGCAAGGTGATGTGTGTCCAGCTTAAGGTATGCCATATTTATCAGCATATTTTCGGATGAACATTTTATTCTTTCCCTGCATCTTAATTAGGAACAATGGATGGATTAAGTTTTTAAAAGTTTCTATTTGTTTGTATGTCAGACCAGCTTAGGTTGTATTAATGGTCCTTCATTGTTGTTTTGCAGGCCGAAGCTAACACAGATGAGGTATTTGCACAAATTACTCTGTTTCCAGAGGCAAAGGTCTGGGATTCTATGTCTATCTTCTTTTG